TTATCTATTGACAGGTTTTGATTTTTATTTTGATCTATTTTGAATTGCGTGACACTGAAAACCAGCAATACGTATCACTTAGTTTCAAGTCACGCAACCAGCGTCTTTGAAATCTTTGTTGACCTCAAAATCCCCTTTGTTTATCAGCAGACTTCGATGACAGATTGGTATCATGTCTTTCTCAGAAGTTATTATCCGATTACTTCATGCAGTCACGCAGTTCTCACACTCGCATATTACTCGTTTAATGTACCGAAGCCTTCCTATGCAATAAGGTAGACCGACGAGAAGTGTATAACACGTTCATAAAGATCAAGCGGCATTATTTCTCACAAAAGCCGCTGTAATGGCATTTTGTTGTTGTTTATCGTTTCTTTGTTTCTTTGTACACCGTGAAATCTCCGATAGCTAGAAGAAACGCGAAGGAAACTTCAATATGCAGAGAGCTGCTTTTAGTTTCTATTAGAGCTGGGACGTGGCTCACCATATCAGGCCCCCCATATCAGACCCCAACATACAATACGAGACCCCAATTTACCATATCAGACCCCGATCGTATCAGTCGGGTTTGACTGTTTTATGTGTCGGGTTTAACTTTATGTTAACTGTTGTGCCAAGTAATACAGTAATTCTTCAGTAGTGTATTGAAATTATTATGAAATATGGCTATTACAAATAACAAACTGCAAGTTCACTGGAAGAGAAGGTCGCCATTGTTGCTACTTCCTTTCTAGCCTATAGACTTTACAGGATCGCGTTTCTTCCTACCCGTAATCTGGCACTATTTTTTAGGAAATATAAAAATTATTAATGCTTTTAAAAAATATTTTTGAAGCAAGCATCGGCCCCAAAACGTTCTAAGATAATTATATGTATCACTTTGTTTCAAGTCACGCAACCAGCGTCTTGAAATTTTTGTTGACCTCAAAATACTTCGGTGACCAGTGACAGATTGGTATCATGTCTGTCTCAGAAGTTATTATCCGATGCTTCATGTAGTCACGCAATTCTCACACTCGCATACTGTATTACTCGTTTAAT